TTTCCAAAATAGGAACAATTTATGCTCCTAAGAGACTCTTTTATTCTATAGATTTGGAAAATAATATTTTATATAGTATATAATTTCTTTAGTAAATTGTTATTACGACGAATTTTCAATACGTATTTGATTATTACTGGGCTTATTATGTCGTTAATTAAACATACAAAAATATATTTTTAAATAAAAAATTACAATAATTAATTTGCGTTAAAAATTTAATTATATTTTACCTTTTATAAAAAATGATTTATATTACAGATATTTCGGTCTACATCGTAGACTATCTTCAGTATACAATAATAAATATTTCTTTAGTATAAAAATTAAACTACATGTTATTAGTTAATTATCTGTAACTAAATAAAAACTATAAAATTTTTTACCCGGGTGATATGAAGTATAATAATATCTCTTATTTACGAAATATTGTTTTTATTAGTTACTAAATAAAAACAATGATATTTTCGCCCGGGTAATATGAAGTGTAATAATATTCTCTTACAAAATAATCTCTTATTTACGAGAATATTATTTTTATTAGTTACTAAATAAAAACAATAAAATTTTTACCCGGGTAATGTGAAGTTTAATAATATTCTCTTACAAAATAATGTCTTATTTACGAGAATATTGTTTTTATAAGTTACTAAATAAAAGTCATAAAATATTTACCACGGCGATTTGAAGTGTAATAATTTTCTATTAACAAATAATCTATTATTTACTGGAATATTTTCTTATTTGCTTAACTATAAAAAAAAAATTTTAAATTTAAAAAATGTTAAGTTTTTTTGGTATTAATAGTTGAAATTTTTTAACGATAATATTAAGCTATTTTAATACTACTCTTTAAAAAGTACTTGTTGAAATCTACTCATGTATATTTAGCGATATTACATGACAGGTTCAGTTGTTTTATAAGGCTAAAGCATGTCAAGAAGCTTTTGCATTTGCTTTTTCAATGCAATTGCTAAAATTTATCGAAAACTCTAATAAATGAAAATTTCTATTTACCAAAACAAAAGATAGAATAAATCTATTATCTATTTGCTATTTATCAATCTATTTGCTATTCAGTGCGCACAACATTGTTTCAACTACTAAGCAATACTGAGTATCTGCATTGCTTTCAGATATAAATCATTTTATTAAAAACTCTCTTTTACTTAGATTTGTGCAAAATCTTCTTAAATAGAATGACAAATTTATGAAATTGAAATTGAAAAACGTAATATCCATAACTTCTTAAAAACTACAGCAGCTCTTAAAAGCAGTTAAAGCAGTAATATTTAAATATTTCAAAACATTACTGCATTATTTGTATTATAATCATGATATAACTATAATATATAGTACATCAATTATTTCTGAAACAAATATAAATAAATTTTTATAGTATACACGAAACAAACATTTTTCTCTTATAAGTACCTTTAGATGAAAAATACTTTTTCCTAATCCAATACCATACATAAATGATCAGAAAAGAAAGATTAAAATTGGTTATAGCATCACTTCATTTATTTAGTATTCAGAATAAACGAAATGGATTCTGAACTACTATGTAGTACAAACCATCAGCTGCTAGTATCACCTTTAATGTTGTAACCGACATCTCCACTTGCCTTTTGCGATCCAATTCAGTAGTGCACACTATAGGGAAGCCAAAACTATTTAAACAAATTGTTCCAATAAAAAGCATGACCGAATAGGACATCATTTTCTTTCGCTATACAAACTGTGAATAAAATACTATAAATTTTTTTTTATGTAATATTTCAATGAAAGTGAAATTACCCAAATAACAAATTGGTTGGAGAAATTATAATCCAAATTTTATAATCTTGGAGGAATTAGATAATAACAAACCTAAATTGAAAACAACTTTTAGTTTCTTTGAAAGAAAAAACACCAAATTTTTATTAAATAATAGTTGTAAATTAAGAGATATGTTTTTAAATTAAAAATACTGTATAAAAAATTTTTGATCAAAAATAAAAGAAAAAGGTTATGATATAAAAACTTACAGTTGTATTCTTTAGAACTGTTTAAATTTTCTAAGTTGTCAGCTGCTCAACTGCGAGGTGATAGCTAACAAGATATCTTACAAAATGTCAAAACAGAATAGATTATAAAATCATTTTTAATTTTTCTGACAAATTTGAAATTTAACTGTCAAATTGTCAGTACTACTATTACTGATATTATTATGATTTTCAAATTTCAACTTCGAAAAACTACTCATTTACATGATATAAAACGTTTACACACTAAACTTTGTACATATATCGATCACATAAATAATGAAGTCTAAAAACTACGAGTTTAAGAATATAGCAAATTTTTTTCGCATGGATATCCAAGTAATACTAAACAAGTTATTACATCTGAAGTGAAAGCCTTTCATGATGTCAGTGCAAGTCTTTTGAACAGCTTCTGCAAGCATAACTCGTTCTGCTTCGATCTCCGAAATCAATCTCCCAAAATGTGTATGTAACACTATACCATATCAGGTTAATGCTAGAAATGATTACCTACTAAATTTTTTTTAGCGTTGATAGGTATAAACTAGAACGCTAGTTGACTCTGGGGAGATACGATACTGTACCTGGACTTTGTCATCGATTATAAAAATGTCAATGGTAAAATAGTAAGATGGTAAAAATTGACCCACCTGAAAAATTTCATTGCATAATGTATAATTGCGCCATGACTCTTTAGATTGATTTTAAAGGCCACCACCAACTCAAGAGGATCAACATTTTAATAACTTTTTTATTAATGTTATAAAAAATAATAAACATTTCAACAATAATGGCTTGCTCACGTACAACTTCATTTAATAAAATTGTTTTTTGATACTGATAGAAAAATGGGTTGTTGATTCAAAAAATTTTCGTTATATTTCTACAAATATAAAAGAAATTTCAAGCTAATTCTCTTTTTATTTTAAAAGATATTATATACAAAAAGAGGGCCCCCACGAATTAATGCGAAAGTGGTTATGTGGAGGAATAAGTATCACCGAAGAGGGGATGTTTTAATCCGTGTAGTACATATTAATGTTAAGTATTCGAACAAACCTTTCCAACGACTGTCGGTTTGATGGTGCATAAGGAATTGCACCTCCGTACCATTAAAAAAAAAATTATATTCAAAATGATTGCATATGAAAGAATTTCTATAATATTTGTAATACACAAACATTACATAAAATTGATAAAAATAAAAACTGTGCAGAATAAATTCAGGATATTTAATTTTCAATTAAATTAAATTCAGACTAGTTAAGTCTGTGCATTTGAGCACTCTTACTCTCTATTAACTGCGAACTTTCTTTATTATCCCTCTCTACGACTTGACTGGATTATTGTTTATTGTTTACTTCATCAGATTAAGCAATTGTTTATTGTTTATTGTTTACTTCATCAGATTAAGCAATAACTGATCTCAGATCTGCATACCTCCCCGAGGAGCCTGTAACCTTTCTGAGATTCGATAAAGCGGAGTTGGTAAGCCTGGCAGTAATGTTTTGAAATATTTAAGCCTATTAATTTTAATAGAAAGAATATTCTACCATTTTGTTTTTAAAAATGAATCTGCATTGTGACTTTTAAAAGTTTTGAAAAAAAATGTTGAGCATATAAATTATAATATAACTAATGTAAAAAAAAACGCTTCATTTAGTGCAGTGTGAACAGTTGGTTAAGTTAATCAAGACAAATAAATATTATAGAAGAGAGAAAATATTGTGAAAAATCGTTGATTTATACCTTTAGAATTTAAGGCATACTAATTTGTTTTTAAATACATCAAATAAAATATACTAATATATGAAATTTTTTTTATTCGTTTTATCATTTAAATAAAATTACTTGAATATTTGAGTTATTGTAAGTTAAATTCATTTATAACTAACACGCGATGTAACAAAATAAAAAAAAGATTCTATGAAAATTTAATAATTATTATATAAAGTAGTTTGACTAGGAAAACAATTATATAAATTCTAGAAAATATTAACAAAAACAACCCATAAAGATTATTTTAAATTATAACAAACAAAAATTGTGTAGATAAAACAAAAGCTATTAATTTTTCATTAGGAAAAAATCATTTTCTCAACAGAATTTTTACATCTTAATTTTCCTTATAGCTTTCAGACTATAAATGACTGTAAATGATAATTACAGTCGCCCTTTAAATACGAAATATACTGAAATCATTAACTTTGTAAAAAAATATGAACATTTATTTGCTAATTATATTTCAATTTTCAAATAAAAGTTAAATTTAACTCAAATTATGTCTTAAATTCACAAACAAAAGACAACAAAACGATTCTATAAGCGTTTAATTAACTTAAAATTAAAAATATTATTAAGAATTATTTCTAAACAAACTAAATATGAAGTAAACAAACAAATGATGAATTTCGATTAATTAGTGTTCCTTAAAAAAATTAAAATTATATTAAAATATTTTTCTGCACGCGAATTCAATTAACGTGAAAAAAATACTTTACGAACTCCAAAATCTGCTAACAGTTTTAATAGTAAAAAATGGATTGACTGTAGGTCGTCATAACCATTCCATTTTTAATGTTTTGCACAAGCGTAACTTTTGTTGATTTCCTGAAGGCATCAGAATTTATAACAGTTCGAATTACATGAATGATATGCGATTCTCTATATTGCCATTATACAGAAGTATCTTCTCTAATGATACGAAACGTACATATGACGAAACTGCGGTTCATCATTACTCGCATTGTTAACTGAAATAAATTATTTATTTTTATCTTCGATGGGAACAACTTCGAAGCATTGAAGAAGAAACCTAATGAATTTAAACCGAAAATGGTTTTTTGAGTTATTTACGCTTCATTTAAAACTTAAACCAGATAAAGCGCGAAAAAAAACTATAAAAAACAATTAAACGTAAATCAATCAAATATAAGACGATCTTCAAAAAACTTTATTTTACGAATATAAATATTTGCATAGCAATTTTGTGTATATTATTCGAAGTCGTAGTTAATATTGTGCGGAATTCCAAATACAAGTATTATTAATTTGTTCACCACAATTAAATAGTTTTTACAAAAAGATTAATTTCAATTAGAGCTTTTGATTTTACTTTTTTCTCCTAATTTATTCAACAGCAAATAAACAGAAATTTTGATTGAAGCTACACTAGTAAAAAAATTAGTAATATAAGTTAGAAGACATGATATTTGTATCCAATCAGAGATGAAAAGGAATTTCAGATACAAGTATCTTCATAAGTCTTTTAGTCATTCGAAATCGCATGCAACTCACAAGGAATACAGTAATCCCTTCCTATAATGAGATACCCTTATAACACCTTTTCATATTACACGATTTCAATTCCCCGTATAACACGAGCATTACCCTATATACAGTTCCTGAACAGGGATTTGTACAGTTCTTAATTAGCTTCGCGTTCCTTTGCACATTACGGGGTATTCGGGAATACCCCTATAACGCGGAACCAATCTACTGCGTTATAAAGGGGATCACTGTAACTTATTTTAATCGAAATGTTTATAAGATGAATAATGATTGACACTTAACCGTAAAAAAGTAAAGTGTTTCGAATGGCAACTTCAATATATATTATTATTATAGAGATATTATGATATCCCTATAATTATGTGAAAAGAATCTTTTAGTTGCGTTCTATTGTCATAACTCTCTATAACATGAAATATAAAAATTTTTGCAGGAAATTCCAACAAGCAAATCATGACTGCTAAGATTTACCCATAATCATTATGATATATTAAAGTAATAATTAAACTATTAATGAAACTATTAAAACAAAGTAATAATTATGGACACAAATTATATTTAAATTTCCCAAATTCTATTTTAATATTTTTACAAACAATTTCTTCAGATCTTCTTGACACATGGAAATAATTTCAAAATTGCTTAACATGTCAGAGAACTATTTTTATCTTCAAGATTGCGTGACAAATGTGGAAGTAAAATTGCTTCCATGTATATTATATCTCTACCAGAAATAAAAATTACAGTAAAAACATTTTAATAGTTTAAATAACAAAATTTTCAAGAAAATATTACCTAAGTGAATGAACTCAACATAAACAAAAGTAATAACATTTAATAGATCTACCTTTAAATAAATAAGCAAATATGACATAAACACAAAGTTACTTTGTAAATATAAAAATTAGGAAAATTACTTAAATTTTATTAAACAAATTTAAACATTGAATTTATTTATTTATTCAGTTGGTTAAACGTAATTCGAAAAACAATTTAAATGAAATAAGTGCAGTTAAAGCTGAGATATTAAAATTTAATAACCAATAACATATCTTCAACCATTAAATTAAATTAAATATTAAAAATGAGATATTGTATGTTAATATTATTGTTATTACTAGGAAATATGTAATTCATATTTGGAGAAAGTTTACCAATTTAAATTTATATTTACCAAAAAGATATATTTTAAATTCATGTCAGTAAATTAAATATAACATTACAAATTATTTTTTATATCTGTTATTATTTAAATCAAAAATTATTAATCTTTCAATATAAATCCAGTAAAATATAACACTATAACACTAATATAACTTTAAAAAATTTTTATTTATATTTGATTATTTATATTTGAACAACTATATGGAGTAAAAGATCAGCTACTAGAATTATCTTTAATGCTGCAACCGAGAACTGGATCTGCTTCAAATTGATCCGCTTCAGCAGTTTATCGTACAAGAAAGTCAGAATATTTAAACAAATGATTCCGAACAAGACATAGTTAAAAACAGTTATCTCAATTTATTGTAAATATAAAAAAAACATGATTAAAAATTAAGTAGGCAAATAGACATGATTAAAAATAAATAAATAAAAATCAAATAAAAATCAAATCTTTTCAGTTATCTTCATTATATATTTTAATGGAGAAAAAAATATCCACATATGCACAAAATGTAGGGACTGTTTTGTAGCGACTTTGCTAGCCAGACAGTCATGGTCACATTCAACTGTTGTGGTTTTCCAACTAAATGAAAAATATGAGAAAGAGAGACGGAAGGTAATTTCAATTAAACTTAAATCTCGATGACGAAACTTACTATACCTCG